CGAGCACCTCCCCCGGGCTTGCAAAAGCCCAGCCCGCCAGAGCTCGGGCGCGTTTTGCTGCCAGCGATGCCGCTGGCCCCGGCAGTTTCACAGCGGCCCGGCCGCGTGCAAACACCACAAAGGCACGCAGACCCCAAGCTCTGGCCATTGCCCCCGCGGCAGGGGAGGCAGGCAAGCGTCCCAGCCTGCTGCATTCCACGAGGTGGCTCGGGAGAAGAATGCGGGGCTGGAGGACCCTGCAACATTTTTTTTTTCTTTTTAAAGCAAGGCGATCGAGGCACTTACACGGATGCAAGAGTCGACTCGCAGCTCTGAAGGCAGCAGCCATGTTTGTGTAAACTCAATGTATTCCCCTCCTGCGCGGCAGCCCCAGGGTAGAGTCGCTTTCCAAAGGGAACCGGATTGTTCTGTTGCATCCCCTCTCTGGAGTCTCTTTAGGCTCTCCCGGGCGCTTTTGTTCCCCTCGGCCAATCAGCGGCGGGGGCGGAGCCCTCAAGAACGAGGAGGCAGCCCCTCCCTCCCTCTCTTGGTTGTTGCCGGAAGACAAAAGAGGGCGGAGTCACGTGGTGAAGCGGTGAGTCAAAGAGCGGCCCGAGTGACTCAGCGCTTCGGGTTCGCGTGGGACTTGCTGCGGGGAGCCAGAGCTGGTCGCTCTCGACAAGCAAAGCGGGGCCGGTGCGCTTTAGTATGTGGATGAGAGACCACTAGGAAATCCATACCTAAATTGAGTAGGCGAAAAACACACAGCAAAAATCCAGATGGCCATTAGAGGGTGGCAAAGGAGACGCAGAAACCTCAAAACCCCTGCCATCTAGTGGTGGTGCAGATTTTTTCAGCCTGACAGCTCAAATTGCTGAAGTGGCACTGAGTCACTAGGAGTGGAGCTTGAATGAGGGAGCCTGTCTTGACGCAGCAAGTGCAGAAGCTGGATTGAGATCCACGGGCAGACGCAGTAGATTTGCTAGGTATTTAGACGCCCAGTTGGCCAACAAGGGTTGTGCTTCTCCAACGTGTCAAACACAAACCTGGTGTGGGCAACCTGTGGCCCTAAAGTCAAATACAACCCTGGAACCATCTTTTTTTAGCCCATGATTATTGAAAACGGTAGCATAACCCTTTCTTAAAAACAAAGCAGAAACATCAGTGTTTATCTTCCCCTGAACTCTTCATCCAGTCGGATGAATTACTTATTATTTTGAAGGTGGAGATAGGAGCAAGACTTTTTTTGCTGTGAGAAGGCTTATAATGGCCTCACCCTTATCAGTAGCTGCCTTGAAAGTTCTGTTGCAATGGAACGATGAGATAAAAATGCAGTAAGCCTGCAAGCCGTTGTTGCAAAAGGCTTCTCCAAAGATTACATGACATTTAGTGAGGTTATTGCCCCCATCAATACAAATTAATAAGGTTCCATATTGTTGGGGTTTGGTGCTGTGGGAACATTTATTCTCAGTAACAGGGAGGGGAGATCTTTGTCAACACAGACACTCCTTACTCTTAATTAAAATCAGCCAATCCTACACATATATACCTACATTTTTATTATTAAGTGTATGATGTGTTTTCCAATAACACATCACACATAGCTTGATCCATGTATCATGTCTAAAAAGTATTAAAAACATTCTAAAAGGCCAGATCAACCAAAAACTCTTAAGTCTTCACTGTCGAGAAGGGATGCTGCAGAGGTAGAACAGGCAGTCCCACTTCTACCGCAGGAAACACCTTGAGGGACTGCGTATGGCAACTTCTATAAATGTAACACACCATACATTTATTCATGAGCAAATCTGGTAAAATACATGGAACTGCCAAGGTCCAATATGTTTCAGGAAGGGTTGCGTTGTATCTCACTGAGAGACTGTAGTTCCTCGTAATAGAGAAAAACAGAATGGCTGAGTTCACAAGTCATACTAAGCCATAATGTGGTTTGGTTGAACTTGGTATGTTGTTACTCCATAGATTTTGGACAGCCAGTGTGGTATAATGGATAAAGTGTAGGGCTGGCACTGGGGACACCTTTCTCAATGATGGAAACTCTTGCTTCACATGGTGGTTGGGGGGTAAGACTGGATGACCTTGAGCTCTTGAAGAAAAGGCAAGATGTATCCCTACACAAAGATGATCAGAGTTCCCGATGACTGAAGCAGCATAAAAGCGTCCCTAATAAATGTTGGAGAAAACCTATCTATACGGTTGCTAAGAGTTGACACCGACTTGATAGCACATAATCCGTTTTAGGTTGTAAATCATGGCTAATGGAGTCTTTAATATGGTGCAGGTCCCCAATTAATTTAAAATGTTCAAAAGATAAATGGGAAACTGGCATGTTGCCAAGTACAAGCCTGCATCACAGGTCATAATGCCCACGTCTTGCTTTGAAAATGTGGCCTTCTCCTCAGAAAGGTTAACAGGAAGCAATTTCACCAATACGCCCGCTCAGCAGGTCTTCTGTTGTGACCAGCAGGGATGGGCCTCAGCAGGGCTACGTTTGTATTCCCACCCTCCACCTTCACCTTTAGTTTCAGGAATGCCTCAGAGCCCCAGGTAAGCCTTTATGCTCAGAAAACAACACTGGAGGATGGTTGGCAGCTCAGTGCTTTATTTGAAAACGCCCTGAAAGACGGCAAAGCTTAATTGGGTAGAGCATTTGGGGGGCTTAGATAAC